CTATTTATTTTTATTAAAACATTGTGTTAAATCACATTATTCGTATATGTTCATAAAATGTCGTGATATTAATTGTTTTCATTGTTCTACAAATCCAATTCGTGCGAACTTAACAATGAAACTACTTGCAATTTGTGACCAGAGAATGCCGGTATCATCACCTTGTATTCTCCATCCTAATCATTATAAAACAGTTTTACGAACTATTCCTTCATGTATGATTGGACAAAAAAACGTACAACCCGATGCTTCTCTTCTGGATAACAAATTTGGTTCATGCGAGCGTTGTAATAATCGTTATGTCTTTGTGTCGGCAGTCGATATTACAAGACATAATTCCCGGAATCATTATATAGTCTCATCAGAATTGAAGAAGCATGAGACTTAACTTCATCGGTCTACACACTTTCCCATCTTGAATTCCGTCTCATGCTTCTTCGATTCTGATGAGACTATATTCAATTCTGTTTCAATTCTGCTGTGAAAATGTTTAGTTCTGCTGGTATTACTTCAATTCTGCTTAAGTTGATCAGTCTACATACTTGTAACATAGGAGAAAATACGTTATAAATAGAACATGTATTGTGACGCTTTCGCTGCGCCATTATTACCAGCAGTGGCAGAGTTCCTACAATTCCAGAATTCTACTTCCATACAGCAGAATTGAATATGGATCTAGCAGAATTGAACAATCATGTCTACGTGCTTCTAAACATTCAATTCTATTACGATCTAAGTACAATTCTATCTCAGTTCTGCTGTAAAAACATTCAATTCTGCTTAACCTGATTAGTATACTTACTTTCCCAATGATGAAACAGAATTGAATGTTTAGAAGTACGTAGACCGACCGAGTTAAGCAGAATTGAAGTAATACCAGCAGAATTGAACATTTTCACAGCAGAATTGAAACAGAATTGAATATAGTCTCATCAGAATTGAAGAAGCATGAGACAGAATTCAAGATGGGAAAGTGTGTGGACTGATGAAGTTAAACAGAACTGAAGTAATACCAGCAGAACTAAACATTTTCACAGCAGAATTGAAACAGAATTGAATATAGTCTCATCAGAATTGAAGAAGCATGAGACTTAACTTCATCGGTCTACACACTTTCCCATCTTGAATTCTGTCTCATGCTTCTTCAATTCTGATGGTAGTAGTTTTTTCAGCTTCCTTTGTCATGGAACGCGACGAACTCTGTCGACCGGCTATTTCACATTTTAACTTCGGGGATTTTTTGGGTGCTAGTGGGTGTTCTCACGTTTTACAAATATCCCTCAGATTTGAATACAAATTGTCTCGCGCTGGTTTTCTTTATTAATTTTCCATAATTTTGACGTAAATATAAAGATACCGGGCATGCATTACCATATATAAAGCATTTTGGAAGTAATGTATCATCATATAATTGTTGAAGACAATCCAATAATTTGAACCCGTGCCAGAGGCAAATAAATACTTGTCCTGAACGGAAAAGTTCGTCGAAAGCCAACACAGTACCGCATGGACTACACGTATATATAATTTCACTGAACGTTTTTCCAACAAAACGGTCAATTCGACGTACGTTACAACCACTAAAACTATTTTTGGATTCTTCACCATTTGATTTTTCATAAAATTAAACGTATAAATCTACACTAAAACATATTTTTCTGAAGCACACATACTGAGGTCATGTACATTCAAATCTAAATATAGTGATCGATAGAGGAGCTAAAATGCAATGATTGATTATTTTTATGCAATTGGTATTGCGTCAAAGAATAATCACTTAATCATGAACTAATTCGAATCCAAACCGGAATAACGCATGTAGCATAAAGAATGTCCACAAAACTCATTTTTCTACCAAAAGAATCGCTGTTTATTTCTCTACAAAAAAATGTGTTACATGCTTTTGAAGAATTCCAGATAGTTTTTTAACAAAATGAAAAGTAAAAATCTCCGAAATGTCGTAAAAATTAAAGGTGAAAATGGTCGCGGTGCAACAAAGATTTTGCGGGATTTGAACGGTACAGTATCATTTCCAACAATTCGAAGATGGCTACATATTATCGAAAAAATCGGCACTATCGAACTGGCTAAATCTCCCGGTCGACCATATACTTTGTTGACCACGTGCGCAAATACGGAATAGTAAGTAGCAATAGTCTGAGTGTATTGTTCAAGATCACATTTCATCTGTATCGGTATTTTCGCCTTCTCGAGTAATATGACTGCAGATTTCACTTCCTCCAGAAAGAGTTTAGTAGTGAGAAATGCATGTCGAATATTTTTGATAAAAAGTCTTGATACCCCCTATCATCACAAAGTAGTCAACTTTTGATCCGCTACAGCTAGAATGCTGAAACTTTCAGGATCAACAGGGAATCAGTTAAACATGCCGACAACGGAGAGATCTGAATCCTATGTCAAGTCATTCAAAATGTGTTCTCAATCAACGTGCTTTTATCTTGTCCAAATTCAAGCGATGGATCACACCATGTGGAAGCTATCTACTCTTTCCTTGCAACAATTCAAGCCGGAAGACCGTGGTACTCGGATTGGGCATGTCGAGGAATGGTGTTCACCTAAGTTTGATGCTGAGAGACAAAAAGTCTCCCTCGAATTCTCGCTTGAGGTGTTTTGCTTAAAATTTTGGACAAAAACTAGTTTTTTCGAAATACATCGCATCGTGTCCAAGGTAAGCAAAAATTACTGAAGACGGCCGTCATGACTAGTCCAAAATGTCCGCATAATCCGTCAGCACTAGTCTAGAACGTCCCTTTCGCTCTTCATGACCAGCCTAGTTTTTAACAAATGTCCGTATAACCCGTTTAGACCGGTCTGGAGTGTCTCTACGATCCGTCATGACTAGTCTGTTTTGTCCGCTATACCCGTCTAGACTAGTCCAAAGAAAAAAAAGATGACATGAATATTTCCATAGTCTTAGTTCGAACCATTACACCGTCTCCGCAAAGAAACTGATGTCGGAACCGGACAGAGGTCTGCTAAATTGTTCTAGATAAATACGATTAAGCCCGTCAACAAGTACTTTCTGATTAGTCTTTTGGGGAAAATAATGTAGGGTTCAATTATACATAGAAGTATATGTTACATTTTGTAGACCTGATGATTCTGTATAAGATAGAGTAATTCACAATGTTATCAATGGTGGCTTCATGAAGAAACTTAGACACCAAATGTAACCGGTAGCAAAAAATTGGAAAAATTGTCCTAATAATTTCAATTTTTCTACCAGAAGAATGTGAGTTTGAAACAGAAGCGAGGTGATATTCGAAATCCGCGTGAAAACCGAATTGAACGATACATATTATAGAGATTTTTGAGCAAAGAAGTTTGTCGAAAAGTTTTCGCTTGGCTCAACCATGCAACCATGGACTAAACTTTTAAGAAAAGTTATTTTGCTCAGAACTATTTATTCGGAAGTTATGATAAGCCTGCAACGAAGACCTAAATTCTTAAAAGCCTTCAGCGAAATATCCTTCACGTATTATAGAAACTACCATGCATAAACTGATGGCGGTATGGCTCAGTTAGTTCAATCGCCGGTATGTAAAACAAAGTGTCACATGTTCGCTTCTAACCTATTTCTCTGTCTTTGTTTAATTTAGACTAATCCCGATGTCGTCAGTATATAGCTTGGCAGACTAGTCAACGATACTACTACGGATAGTTTTCTTTTAATTAACGGTTAAAATTTTGGACTAGTCATGACGGAGTCATTTTTGTCGTGAAGTCTAGTCGGGACGGCCGTTCGGACCAACAAAAAGGACTAGTCATTTCATCCGTCTTTTGCTTACCTGGGGTATCATTCGATGCAGTTTTTTCCATAGATTCCAAATATCACATTAGTTTTGCATGAAAATGATTCTGAACGTTTAAAAATTAGATTTTTACTTTTTTCCTTCTGCATATATAGCTGCGTTTGTGTTCACTGTATACGACTGCGATAAACTTTTTTTACTTTGTGAGGGTAAGTCACTACGACTTTTACAGAAACGTAATGATAACGGTCTTATTTCAATTAAAACTGTTTGTTCATTTTCACATATAGCTTGACGAATGATTTCCTTTCCTTGTTTATCAAATTTTGAAACTAATTCAGTATATAAGTCATGAGGGATGGGATAATAATCATTTTCTTCTATTGCGTCTGCGCGTAATTGAACACCATCTTCATGAGTAATGGTCGATGGATCAATTGAACCAGTAAAATTAATTGGACCAAATGAATCTAATTGTTGTTCATGTTTTTAAGTTAATAATGAACCCGGCGCAGTTAAACCAACATAACGTTTTCAGTGTTCAAACCATTTTGCATCTACTGATACATATTCATCACCTTTTTGTAATGGTTTTTCAATTTCTTGTTTATATTCTTCACGTTTACGATCAAGATCAGGATTCGACGGCATGTTTTAGACAAATTTGATAATACAAATTTTGACAAATAACAATAATACGCATATATTAATAAATAAACAGTTAGATACAAATGAAATGAAAGTAAAAAGTGAATTATTAATCTCTTAATAATGTGTTTATAATATAAGCAAACTCGAGATATGGTTTAAGAAAACAGCCGAGAATAAAGTACAAATAAAAAAGCATAAGTTTCAAAAGATTTTGCATCGATCCTTCTATTTTTAATTTATATGAATTTAGTTTTAACATTAAATGTTGCGTGGTTAAGAGAAGAGAGGAGGGCGGAAGAAAAAAAATAAAAACAAAAAAGGTCGTCTTGACATATATAAAAATTCTTCTTACTTTGTTTGTGCGTTTCTTTCTTAGATCATTCCTTTTAAATTATGTATTCTTATAATAAGGTAAGAATTGTCTATGTTAGGTTCCATCTAACTTGTTTTAATCTTCACTTGTATGTACAAATGTTTTATTAAGAAAGCAAGGGCATCCTCCTCAGTACAGTATATGCCTGTGTATATATAGGCGAGAAAGGAAGGAAAAAAGAACGTAACAGAAAACATGATATAATATAAACAGTGATGTAATATATACAATGGTGTCACAGGATGGCATGATGA